GCTGAGTTTTGAAGGCACTCTGCAGACACAGGGGTGCTGGGGGCCCTGAATCACATTTGTGAAGTCTTTGTACTGTATTTTAAAGAGCTAGTCATCAAAATCTGTTACTGCCAACCAGCAAGAACAAAAAGATAAACTTAAAAAAACACACACACAATAGTACACACAAAAATGTGCAGATCTGTAACATTTTTTTTCACAGCTGATAAAAAAAAATACTACCGTTCTCCCCCAGACTCCCCTTTGATACAGTAGGTAAACAAAATAGATTTTTTTCCCCCCACAAATTATCAGCAGACACTTTCTGGCACCCCACACTGTATTGGCATCAGTGTTAATAGTCCCATTTCAGATGTGCAATACTTCAGATTGGATACATTGTAACAAGAATCCAACTTTGCATAGACATCCTCAGAATCGCAAAGTCACGGGGTTGCCCTTCCAAGCTGGCAGAAAAGGAACCCGATCATAATTTCCAGCTACTCCTGGAAAACAAGGAAAAAACAAAAGTTTCTTCCTCTCCTCCTGCTCCTTCATTTGGTTCTCCCGGACTTCCATGTATTTAAAACTTGGAACTAGAAAACGGTTGTTGACAAAAATAAAAAATAAAAATGAAAGAAAAAAGACCCCCCCCCCCCCATTCTACCTTCTCCCTGTCCTCTTCCTCCCTCACCTCATTTTTTTTTTCCAGGCTGAAACTTTCGCTTGCTGGTGTCAAGCTGCCAATAGAGCGCCCTAACGGTTACTTAAAGGAAAAAATATGCGTCAACCAAAATCAATGAGAAACGTACATGCTGCAAAGAGCCACATTTCCACCGGGTCTCGGATGGTCAGAACGGGACACCCCTTCGGACATGGGGAGGAGGCTGGGGACGCCGGCCGCAGAGGCCAGCCGGGCTCCAGGGCCACCCCGGCCAATGCAAAGCCGTCTCCAATCTCAAAGCAATAAGAGAAATCACATTTAGAGAGTTGGGTGCGTTTGGCTTTTGTGCGCAGAGCGCGGCCGGCGCACGGCGGCCGCGGGCGCCTCAGAGGATCACGCAGGCCGAGCAGCAGCCCTCGTCGCCGTTGGGCTGCGCCGCGTAGTTCATCTGCCGCACGATCTCGGCGAACAGCTCGTCCACTGAGGCTTTGTTTTTGGCCGACGTTTCCATGAAGGGGCAGCTCCACTCCTCGGCCAGGGCCTTGCCCTCGCCATAGGAGACCTCGCGCTCGCCCTCCAGGTCCACCTTGTTACCCACCAGGATCATGGGCACGCGCTCGTACCGCTTCACGCGGATGATCTGGTCCCGCATGGGCTTGATATCCTGGAAGCTCTGCTGATTGACGAGGCTGTAGACGAGGATGAAGCCCTGGCCGTTCTTGATATACAGGTCCCGCATGGACGCGAACTGCTCCGTGCCCGCCGTGTCCAGGATCTCCAGCACCGACGGCGACGAGTCCACCTCAATCTCCTTGCGGTAGAAGTCCTCGATGGTGGGGTCGTACTTCTCGATGAAGGAGCCCGTCACGAACTGCACGGTGAGCGCGGACTTGCCCACGCCGCCCGAGCCCAGCACCACCACTTTGTACTCTCTCATGGCTCCGTCGGCGCTGTCGCCGCGCCTGCCGCGGCCCCGTCGGGGCTGCGCGCCGGTGAAGGGCTGGGCTTGGCGGCTGGACTTCTTCCTTTCCTCAGCTCTGCAGGAAAAACCTAAGAGAGTGTGGCTGCGGGGCGCAGGGCGCAGAAATCAGCAAGCGGGGACCAGGCGCCGGGCCGGGGCGGCGGCG